AACTGAAGTCAACAAATAGCATCCTGACATAAGTGTTAGGATGCTCCAGGTGGGACAGGGCAGTGTGTAGTGCTATTGAGACAGCATCCTCTGTTGATCGGTTCTCTCTGTAGGCGAACTGATGGCTGTCCAGACCAACAGGGATGACGTCCTTGATGTGCTTTAGAATGATCCTCTCAAAGCACTTCATAATTACTGGTGTCAGAGCAACAGGGCGATAGTCATTGAGGCAGGTGACAGCTGATTTCTTGGGCACAGGCACAATGATGGAGGACTTGAGGCACACAGGGACTAAAGCAAGATGCAGGGACAGGTTAAAAATGTCCAGGAAAGCTCCTGCCAGTTGGTCAGCACATACTGTAGCTTCAAAACCCGGCCTGACACCCTGTCTGGTCCTGCGGCTTTGTTGGTGTTGATCCTCCTGAGGGTGGAGCTCGCCTGGTGTAGCTACAGGATGTGTACCAACACTTGTAAGGAACAGGCAAGTATTTTAGTGGTTCCTTCCTTATTTATGCAACAAATTTATCTTTATTTATTTATTGGTTGATTTTTATTTTTTTAGATTTTACATGAAAACATGATAAACTTATAAATAAAATGCATTTTAAGACAGGATAGTTTTCTGCAGATTAAGCACTTGGATACATTAAGTACATTTTGCTGATAATACTTCTAGGATTTTGAAAGTAGGGCTTTTGCTAGTAATGGAGTTTTTTTGTTTTTTTTTACATTGTGTTATTAGTACTTTTGCTTGAGTGAAGGCTCTGACCTTTTACAGTTGTAGAAGAAGAAGCTGGATGTGGATGGAGAAATAACAGAACGAGGGAAGGCGGACCCGAAATGTAAATGAGGCAGATTGATATGTTTGAGGGCAGATTTACATGTTTGCCTTCCTCCTCCCAGTAACAGCTGAACATTCAAACAGCAGAGCTTTAGATAATGTGCCACCAGAGCTAAATCTGTCCTCCTCTTCTCTCATTTATATTCAGCTCTACCACTAAGTGACAGTATGTACTGTATGTTTAATAGCCAATCTCAGAGTACATTGTATTTGGAAGATGGGTGTGTAGATGCACGACTGTTGCATGCACTTTGAATGGATTATGTATACACAGTTTTCATGAGTGTTTGAGTGCTCATTTTATTAACAGCAGAGACCTGTTGGGACCTGATATGTTTTCCCATTCACAATACAAGAAAAACATCCCCGGTGCTGCTGCGAGCAGTGAAAGAGGACGGAAATGAAAGTACATAAAGAGCTGTGCATTGAATTTCAAAATGTTTTTTCTTGACTTCCTAAAGGGAGCCATGAATAACCACCTATATAGTGTGGTCATGTGTCTTGCATTTATCCTCAAATGAATTCCATTAGTGCTGTCCAACACTTGTGAGTGCACCCCATGGGCGTGAGTATAGTGCTGCTGATTGCTGTGGGCTGCTCAAAGAGCCTTACTCTCGCAGCACAAAGCCCCACGACAGCCTGGGAATGACCACGGAGCTCATTTATAAGCCTGAAAATCCTGCCGAGATCTTCCTCTCTCTTGTCTCATAACAGAGACATGTATTAGTAATTCTGTTTTGATGCTCAGTAGAGGTTGGACTCTGCTTTAGTGAAATCCTGGCTTTCAATTCGATGCTCTTGAATGCAACTTTTCTACTCACATTAAATCATTTCAAATAACATGAAGTTCAAGGTCTTCTGTTTTAAGCTAATTTGTTTTTTTCTTTCAGTTTTATGTTTCGAATATGCTAGTTATTATTGTTGAGGCTTCCACTTTACACCTCATCTAAATAAGCATCACTGTCAAACCGCTGGTAAACCAGTAATGTCTTGTACCTAACAAATAAGCTGCCTCATAAGGCCCCCAGCTCACAGATCGGCATTGTTTCTATGCAGTGCAGACGGTTGCAGCTATACTACTGCCTGTCAGTGGCTACAGTAGTAAGAAGGAACTAGAAGTACTATTGTGTATTAACAATATAATCAGACAAACATCATCTCCAGGTGTAGTTGCTGTAGCTTGCTGAAACATAAAGACACAATATGGATTGGATACTGAATTTTAAGCTGTTATCTAAATATCAGGTAAATCCAAAGAGTTTGATGATGAATGAAGCTGCTCTAGATTACAGAGTTTCTCTTGTATGTCTTGTAAAACAGAAGACCATCACAAAACTAAAACCCTTTAAGTGTAAAAGCCGTTAAAATCCACCTGAAAGGAAAGTTTGACATTTTTTGGCTTTTTTTCTGAGAGTTGATGAGAAGATGCTCGGTGGTGGAAGAAGCATGCAGATGCTGTCCCTAATTTCTTTTCAGCTTAGAGGGTCAAGTGAAACTCCCAGCTGCTTTTTCCCCTCCCACCATGTCCTGTTTCCTAGCAACAACGTAAATGCCTGGTTGCGACAAAATGTTCAAAGTGCAGCCTCCAGGCCGAAACTAGCTTTAGCTGACTAATGAGTAAATCTGGCAATTGTAATGAAGTGTGAAAGTACCCTCTGACTTGTTAAGTGCCATTTTTGTGGAACAGTTTTTTTTATTTTATTTTATATTTTGGACATTATTTATTATTTTTATTATTAAAGGCATGTTACGCTTTAACTCATAGACCTGCATCAACAAGGAACTGTGCAAATATGTGATTCCTGCAGTGTTTAGTATATCTGCTCATACAAAACCTTTAAGTTGTAGCCCAGTAGATGATCAGTTCTTACTCCTGTGACACAAAATCTGCTGGTAGTTGCTGGCAAGTCAATTGTCAATACAATATTCAAGAGCCATTATAAGTTCACACTCAAAGGTTTAACCATTCATCTGATCTTATTGTAGTTACATGTTAATATTTTGCCTCAAATCTTAGACAGGCTTTCAGTTTATATGTCAATTTTGAGCTTGAGCACCTGTCCTGCTAATTGTCTGTGCGCTTGACTTCTTGAGTAAATGTACTTGGTTACAATTCACCCTTGCTCTGGTTGCTAATGCTAACTACTGTTGCCATGATCAAAAGCAAACTGTCAGTGTGTTTTTACTCACTGGCTTTGAAGCATTGTTTTTTCTTCTGCGCTTACTGTACATTTGTCCTGTCTTGCCTCCACATCTCCAGGAGGGCCAGACGGCTGCTGTCCCGCTCCCAGCTGAGGCATGCCTGCCGGCAGCCCTGCGAGCAGGTCACCCTGCGTAGGGTCTCCCAGGGCCCACCACAGGGGCTCGTCTTGGCCCCTCCACCTCACCCCAGCCTGAGGATGCGAGGCCCCATCGTCATCCATGACTGATCCGACCTCCACACCTGCATTCGCACTAATAAATCCTCACCCCCTCTATTCTCATTAAATCCTCAAATCCTCCTTTGCTTTTAGTCCTTATTAAAATACTGTTATAATTCTTGACAACTCTTAAACAAGCTGTCTACAGTAACTTCTTGGCAACAGAAGGATGTGATGAGCCGTGATGCAATAGAAACATACACCTGACCTGACTGCAAGTGCTGCCTGTCTTTACTCCCATGGGAATGTGTTTGTACATACTGTATTTGGGTGCATGTGAGCGTGTGACCGAAAGGCAGAGAGTATGTGTGTATGTGTGTGTGTGTATGTGTGCCAACAACACATCAGACAGTGAGGGGATGTTGGCGTGTGTTGTTCTTAGTTTTTATGGAAGGACATAATGACAAAACTTAGTGTGACCTTTGTGTTGATGGTGAATTGTTGTGAAGTTCGATCAGTTTGTATAAAGTTATTTTGGGAGAGGGCTGGGGTGGTGGGAGGGGGTGGGTTTGCATTTGTGGGGGCTGAGGTTCTTTTAACAATGGAGGCAAATGTCCAACGCTGACATTAAAAAAAGAAAATGCACTATACTGAGACTGAACTAGCAGCCTTTAAAAAATCGGCAACTTTAAATTGTGTTTACCTTCCGAATTTGTACGTACTTGTTGAAGTCTAAACCAGTGGTGAAGCTGAGCAATGCTTACCTGGAGAAATTATATAACAAGCCTTCCATAACTGCACTAAAAGCTATTAGTTGTCCATGACAGATCTGCAGGTTTGGAAATATAACAAGGCGGAGAAGTAGAAATAAGCCTCCCTCATGAACCAGTGTATAATATATTGTATATCTCATTATAGCACTGTAAATCTACTCATCCTATTTCTATGGGCGACTGTACCTACCTAGCCCTAACTTGGGTACTAAAGCACTTCCTTTGCAGCAGAAAAGGGCATGGATCTGACATATTTTCCTCAAGGCTGTGATGTACCAGCAACATTTTGAGGCAAACAAAAGTGCAACTTTGCCAGCAGGTATTTGCTTTTTGCTAATATTTGTTCTCTTCATTGCACTTGTTCTTTAATGCTAGCTGTCAAGTTTGTCCCATTTTCCGACCTCCCTCTCTCTTCCTGCTGCACGACAATATTGCCAGAGGGCCTCAAAAAGGTGCCAGTACACATTCCCACCTTTAGGTGTGTTTATTCTAAGTTTTAAAACTGGCATCGCTGCCGCATGTCTTTGAGGTGACATATGGGTCACATGATTTCTTCTCTTTCATTCAGAATGTTTATGTTAGTGTTTCCTGTATGTCTTGTGTTGAATTATGAATATGCTGAGAATAAAAAAACAAAACAAAACAAAATGCCATATTATAGTGTCCAGTCTCAGTGAATCATTTCCTGGTGTTATAATCAGACAGCCTGTCCCGTCTCTCAACCACCTACTCTGTCTCTGTCTTTGTGTTGCTCTTGAAGAGGAGTGTGATAGATGGGGCCTGATGTACACTGTGCCCTGTGTGTTGTAAAATACCCCCCCAAAAATATGGTAATTTGACACAGTGATGATGAACGAAGAGCGCTCGCATATAATTCATGTTCTTGGAAGTGTACAGGCTCAGTGTACTTCACTGTGTGTGTTTATTTGTGTTGACACAGCCCCTGTTGTTCTGGTGACAAAGGTTTTCATTTGCCACTCTTCCTCTTGTCACAGTTTTAAAAATGAGACTCAACAGCTGCTGCAGCTGCCAGGTGTTTTTGTTTCCACTGTGGTTTTTACACAGCTTGTGAGTTCCCTGCCCTGAAGGTAAAATTTAGAAAAAAGGAAGAACATGAATGACAATATTTACATTGAACCTGTTGTGCAGTCCCTTTTGCTATAGACATAAAATGTGTCATCTGTACAATGTGTCTGCCAAAAATATGTGGCCACCCAAACTGCATTAGTATTCACTTGCTTACAACTTCTTCTTTTGGCACTGCTTCTTGCAGTCTGTTATAATTCCTAATTCTGAGTTATTGCTACTTGTGTATTCAAGTGCATTTCTACCACTTCTGCATCTGTTTCAGATCACAATGTGGAGCTGTAACAAAAATAATTCACCACTTTGCAGCTTTTATTTTTTTTAAATTAATAGATTTGTCTTTGTATTGTATGTTTTTATATTATGTTTCATGTCATGCAGTTTACAGCTTATATTTGCCAGCTACATCTTGATTTGAGGGATCTACATATTTATTTTGCTTTTTTTTTGTAGATGAGGATAGTGTTCAAGCATTTTTATTACATTTTAGTTATCACTGTGAATTCCCTTTTTGTCAAACTGATTCATTTAAAGAAATTAAGCATGGTGAGGTGTTATTATTCCTATCAGTTGCTTCCTTCTGAAATAATAATAGCCTACTAACAATTTTATTTATATGGTACATTAAAAAACTTTTCAAAGGACATTTGAAGTTTTGTGAGGCATTTGAACGCAGCACGTGAAGCGGCTCTGTGTATGCTGGCTGTTGCTGGACCCAGTGTGACTTCCATTTCTCATCCACCCTGCACCATTGGTGTTTCTACACTGACTGAAAACACAAATAAATCGAAATAAAACATTCGTTACGTTCAGGTGCCTGTCTCTGTCTTACACGGAATCCCTGGCTTTGATTATCCAGGCTCCAGTGGCGCAATCGGTTAGCGCGCGGTACTTATATGACAGTATTCAGCAAAGCAATGCCGAGGTTGTGAGTTCGAGCCTCACCTGGAGCACAGCTTTTAGATGCTCCCGGTGACACCAGGTTAATCCTCATCAGCCGGATGACAGAAGACTTCCTGTACCTCCTCCAGCGACGTCACGCGGTAACCCCCTGTTCATAACACTTAGTGCTATATTCAGGTATATTCACCCACTGGCTTCTTAGCTCTTGTTGGCAATGCTTGAGCACTCCAGATAAAAGCAAAGTAAAACAGCTTTGTTATGTATACACTGAACGGTTTGAGATCAATATGCAAAAGTGAAGTATCAGTGTAACGTACTCAGATATAATGTGACGCAGGCAGACAAGGACAGGCAAGTTTATTTACAGAAGGCTATTTTGTGTTGATTTGAACAATACTGAAACACACTAAAGCAAGACATATTTCTTCTGTATATTTTGAATTAATTGGTGCCGTTAAATTTGTCGTTCAGCGGCGCCCTCTGTCGGTCAAGGAGCGGAACTAGAAACTTGCCGTAACACTTGATTTGTGCCACTAGAGGGCAGTGTGACTGCATCTGAAAGCCCTGTCACACCACTCAGTCTCTTCAATGAGATTAATTAAGACCCTAACCATCATTTTAATCTTTTCCAGACATGACTGATTTTACTGTTCACAACTTCTACATATTGTTTGTATTCGTGTATGTGCTTTGTGTGAATGTTTGTGTGCAGGCCTGTCGCTCTAAGCCCCATAATGCTGTAAATGAACAAGGAGAAGATTGCAGTAATGATGTGACCCAGATGTCCTGGGTGCAGATCTGCAGGCTGAAAATAAGAGTGCAGATCAGGAGCTTGTATGTCCTACCACCTCCTCCTCCCCCTCTCCCTCCCTCCAGTCAGCCCTCCATCCGGCCTAGGACACAATCACTGAGCTTTTAGCCCCAGGGAATGTAAGCATGTCAGTGCATATGAGGAAGAAATGTTGTAGGGTGTCCAATGTGTTGTCGGCATCTCTGTGTGTTTGTTTTTAAGCTCATCCAGATTCATGTAAACATGAGGGATCAGACTTTGTGTGCTACTTGTTCTTGGTACTCAAGATTAGATGTAACAGGTTTTTCATTTACTTTCTTCAGCTGCCTCCATAAGATGGTAAAGCCTGGCATCACACCACCAGATCCCCCCTCCCACCCCCCCACAACCACCTCCTCCTCCTCATCCTCCTCCCACTACCTCACCATTTCTCACCCATCCCCTGAGGTGACCAGGTGGCCAAGCTTCACACACACCACCCTGACAGTAGTCTCAGGGGGCCACTTTACTCAATGAGAAGCTGGTCAGCTGATATGGTGCAAGCATCTGTATGTGTGAAATTGTGTGTGTGTGTGTGTGTGTGTGTGTCAGGGATTGAGGGAAAATGGGACAAAAGACAGAGAGTTTAATATTTGGGACAAGCTGTGACTTGAACATCCTGAGATCAGAGTGGAATGATCAAATTCTGTGATAATCCCTCATCTTGAAAAATTAAATACCACTCTGCTGCCTCTCTTCTTCTCCCTCACAGTCTCTATCAATCTGGAACATGCTCACTCACACACACACACACACACACACACACACACACACACACACACAGAGTTTAAATAGGGTCTGACCCGTGTCTCATAACCCTAATTGGTTCTTTAAGGAGCTGTTCTGATATCTGATGAGTTTTTCAATAATAAGGCACAAGTCTAATCCTGAGAAGCATAAAATTACATCTGAAATATTACGTCTTTACATTTGTGTGAACCCAAGTTTTGTTTTGTTTGTTTGTTTTGTTGTTTTCAGGTCATAATCCAACCTTGAACACAATGATAGTTTGTAATTATTACAGGTATGTTGGCTTGATTAAGCTGTAAATTTCCAATTGCTCTGCTGGCTTTCCACAGTGGATTTATCTGTACTACCCATAGACTGTAGAGTATAAAATTAATATAATTAGATTCTGTACTGAAATTGGAGTTGCTCTTAAAATACATTCCAATGGAAGCAAAGTTATTGTCTGAATTCCTCAGCACTGCAGTTAGTAGGCTATAGAGTGGGAGTAATAATTATAATGCCCTATGACATTTCTATAGATTTGATCAGTGGAGAGTATATTTTCCTTTGGCATATGCAGAAAAAACACAGTCTGGCATACACTGACGCAAGAGTTCAAGAGTCACACTTGGCCTCTGACATGGTGCAGCTGCATATTGAAAACCTAATAAGGAGTAGGCTACAAAACATTATACTATAAAGAAGACATTTTTGTACAGACAGTCATGACTGCAAGTCATTTTGGCTGTGAGAGTTTCAGGTTTTTCACACAGAGAGCAAGTTAGAGGTAAGAGGGTCAAAACTATCAGCTAGCATTACTGACATTGTTTAGTTTTACAACTGCATATTTTTAGGAGCAGGTGCACGAACATTATAAAGTTTTTAGGCTTGACAGATGAAAGACATACATGAACTAGAAAATCGCATTTTCTGAAGAAAATGCGTATGGATGCTGAGTGCTGAAAGCTCGCCCTGAAAATGCTGAATATTTTGACACCTTAATGGTTTTGCTGGCTGAAAGTGTGCTGAAGTAGAAGTTTCCCATTCATTTGAATGGGGCAAGATTTTCAAAATAAAGCTAAATATTTAAAATGTATGAAGTTTTGAAAAGTTCTGAATAGTAGTGTGAATGTCCTTGAAGAGCTGAACATTTTGATAGCTGAAATTAGGTTGAAGTAGAATTTCCCCATTCCTTTGAATGGGGCAAGTTTTTCAAAATAAAGCTAAATATTTCAAAAAAATTGCGAATGGAAGAAGGTATATTAGAAGCATGAATGTCCTTGAAGAGCTGAACATTTTGATAGCTGAAATTATGCTGAAGTACAATTTTCCCATTCATTTGAATGGCGCAAGATTTTCAAAATAAAGCTAAATATTTCAAAAA